TTTCCTAAACTGCTTCCTGCATAAAGATGTTCCACAGCTGGTATTCTGAGTTAACTATGTGCAAAAGACCACATTACAGATGGTAAGAGAGGCTCCTTTTTTTAAATCTAAGAAATAAATTATCGTTGCCTCACCCATGGTGATCTTTCTGGATTTTATCCTACAGTAAATAGAAAGTGGGAAGATAATCATTTTCCTTGCTGTTTGTTGCCTCTGTAATATGTTGGTCCTTACAGATAAATATTGTGTTATAACTTTAAATGATTAAAACTTTCAAAAAGATCATTAAATATAGATAAGTTGCTTAAAATGAGAGACAAACTCAAATGAATCAAAAAAACTAAAATTTCACAAATATAAATGAAATAATTTTATTTCCCAGAAATATCAGTTTAGATTAGGTTGGATTTTTTTCTCTCTCTCTTTTTTGAGACAGAGTCGTACTCTGTCACCCAGGCTGGAGTGCAGTGGTGCAATCACAGCTCACTGCAGCCTCCCTCTCCTAGGCTCGAGGAATCCTCTTGCCTCAGCCTCCCAAGTAGCTAGAACTATGGGCATACACACCACATCCAACTATTTTTTTTTTTTCGGTAGCATTGGGATCTCACTAGTTCACCCAGGATGGTCTCAAACTCCTGGGCTCAAGCAATCCTTCCTCCTTAGCCTCCCAAAGTGCTGGGATTACAGGCCTGAGCCACTGTGCCTGGTTAGTTGCTTTTAAAATTCACATATGTTTATTTTAAATTCAAAGACTTCAATATATGTATATCTTACAGTCAAAGTTGGAAGTGAAACTTATTTTCAAGGTGCTATTGATGTCTAAGCCAACTTGTTTGCTAAGCCATGTGTTGATGAGCCTAGAAAGTCCATTTTTTACCACATGTGCGAGCATCTGGCTAACAATAACAATAATAACAACAACAACAAGAGCGCTTCTCTTGTAAGCGGACGTTAACAACAGGAAAGTTCCCACTTTAACAAAACGACAAATCTTTTACATTGTATTATTTATCTGCATGCTTGTCTTTATCTCCTGGAACAATGTGTGCTCCCCCTGGTGGCCAGAATAATACTTTCAGCTTCCCAGTTCAAGCTAATCATATTCCAACTTGTTTGCCAAAGAAGCGTTTTATTTTTTATGTTTCACAAGTTTCAGGCTCCAATTCAACTTTTTAAGAAGTCAGTTTATTTCCATTCATTTAAATATCTTGCTTACTTTTCATCCAAGAGATTGTTGTTAAATCTAGTAATTTTTGTTTTGTTGTTTGTTGCTTGGGGTAAAATAAAATCTTACAAAGCTAAAACCACATCCACAAATGACTGAAAGAGACCCTGAAAGTTAAAATTGTGAGGTCTATATAAGAAATGACACGCAGATAATCCATCAGGTCAATATATTTCACCAGAGAAAAAGGAAATAAGACGTTACAGTATGGAAATGTAATTTAATAGCTGAATGAATACTTATCTGCCTATTTCATCCTTAAGAAGAAATAGGAAAGTGAAGGCAACCCAGGTGGTTACATTATAATGCAGTCGAAATTCCATCACCCATGAAAACTGCAATTGGGATTCCACTTTTGGATTTGGCCGGCCAGAAACAGATGTGTGTTCCAACAAGAATCACAGGCTGCATCTCCTGGACAAGAGCTCTTTAGAGTGCAGCAGGAGTTTCAACTGGTTTTAACTCCAAAGAAAGGACTAGACTAAACTGAGTATAATTGTTCCAAGTGTTTAGAATTCCCAAGTTGGACTGGGGCTAAATGTGTGGTTCTCATTTTATGGCCTTGAAAAAGAAGACAGTGTGATTCTTCCTTGTTCTGTTAAAAAAGAAAAAAAGAAAAATTTAAGGTTGAGATACAAAGGTTTGGCTAGAAATATCTCAACCATTGGACATTTCTTCAGTGAGTCAGGCTGTGGTTCAGACAGCAAGGTCAAGGTGAAAACCAAATACCACTTTGTGCATAAATCTTGCTCATTAAAAGAAGGGACTCAAATGTTTCTTATTATATAGACTGTCTGGATGCACGATCCTTTCAACTGAGTTCCTCAGGCACATTCTAGCAAGATTCTAAATTCATATCATCCAGCATTACATGGGGCAGGTAGAGTTTCTTTTGAAAAGAAACCCAGGCCAATGTAATCCTAGCTAGGGAAGCTGATGCCAGGAAATCTACAGTGTGCTTTACCGAAACCACAGTTCAATTAAATAAATTCCATCCTTCTTACCAGGAGTCAAGAAACACACAAATGGCAGAAATGCAGTTGTCAGTGAGTGGGGTTCACTCGTCAGGAGGTTAATTCCACATGGATTTTAGTAAATTGAATTTGGGATAGGTTAAAAAAAATACTTGTGCCAGTATTGAAAATCTAAACTTTATTTGTAGCCGGTATTTCTTCAGACAAGGTTTTGCCGCACCCCTCTGCCTCCATGTCTCTTTCCTGGCCCAGAGAGACTGACTCCCTCCAAAGGAGAGGAAACCTTCCCCTCACATCTTCGAATGCCTTTCAGTGATCTGTAGAACAACTCAGGGCATATTCAAGAAGGGCAAAACTTCATGCCTCTTGTTCCTCAATCCTCCTTTCCTTTGGTTTGTTTTCCTTACTTCTTGCCAAAAAGCAGCTACCTTGGCAGGGAAGTTACTACAATCCATTGCAAGTACTTCCTCCAATAATGAACACAACAAAATCCTGTCTTTATTCATTTAAAGCACGAAGCTGGCCCTCTTTACAAATACCCTGTTTTTAATAAATCCTTGGTAATAGACATCCATTTACGAGAATAAAGTGGATACATTGGAGCTGAAGCTGGTGGTACACAGAGCAAATCTTCAGCTCATGTCTGTGTGTGTGCACAGCACAACTCATTAGGGTGCGCCTTTAAATAACACATGGACAGAAACAGATACTTTCCCGCATGCATGTTTTTCCTGGAAAGATTCACAAAACACTGTAACAGCATTCACCTTTAAGAACAAAGATAAGAGTAGGAAGAACTTCCACTTTTCATTTTAATGTTTCTGTACTGCTTGAGTTTTTTAGTGATACACATATATTATTTCTATTCTTTCAAAAAATCAGAGGGCTATTGAGTGATTATGTCTTTATTTTGGGGGGTTACATCTCTATATTTTTCTTCAAAAAAAACTTATTCTCAAATTAAAAAAATAAAAGGCAAAGACAAACTGTGTTTAGGGAGTGATTGCTTCTCAAATTATTCTACCTGACGTGGTGCTGCATAATTTTATTATGAGCTCTCAATGCCTCCACAGATCCATATGAACAAAGAGCAAAAGTGCAATATTCCAATGGGATCTTTTGGAAAATATTTAAATTCTGGGTCTCCCACCAACCTTACAAGTGATTCCTCTAACTTTTGTTAAAAGATAAGCAAAATTGTCTCCAAAGAGGTGAAGCCACACCAGTGCCAGTCTTCCTACAGGGCAGGTCACCGTGTGCATTACTGCATTGAAGGCTACATTTCACAGACAGGCTCAGAGAGGTCCCAGTCCCCTGACACATACAGTGGAGCAGAGATTTAAGCCAAGTTCACTGAGACATTCTGTGACCCCCAGCCACGAGAGAGGGGGTATGTCCCTCCACACCCCACATGAAATGCCAGAGCCTGCTGGCTCTGGGACGAAGGCTGCCTATCCTCTGTGAATGCTCCCCCCAGAGCCAGGGAACTCAAAGACCCGCCTCCAGCCACAGGATACAAGAGGCAGATTTGAAAAATGCCTTCCTTTGCAGGTGGCACTTAAAACACCGGTGCTTTGCATCCATCCTGGGGCACATTTCCCAGCTCTTCTCCCCCAGAACCCTGATCAGCTCAAACACAGAAGTGGGCCATAGCAGGGAAATGAGGATGGTGACAACTCAAAGGTAGAGGTTGTCATATAGATTCTTCTCATTCCTTCAGAAAAGGATGTGATGTCTTCCTCCTGGCCTGAGAAAACCAGTCCTTCTCCAGGCATCACAAATGGGTGCATGAAAATTCTGTCCAGGATGTCACAACTGAGCATGCAATGCTCATATAAGCACAAGGAGACACGCTGAGAGGATGGGGGACTTGGGAACATAGTTCTTTGTCATACTTTTTTCCTATTATCAGTATGACTAGCTCTTCTAGAGGATATGCTGCCATGGAAGGCTGAGGACCTCAGTCTCAAAGTCCAAGTCTCAATCCTGCCTCTCTGATGAGATAGTGTCACCCAGTTTCCAAGGACAAGCCCACTAATTCATACCTTGCTATGTGGTCTAGAGAAAATAAATCAAATCTCTAGCCATCACTAACACTGTCTACAAAATGAAACTTTAAAAAAGACAAGAGACTTTGAATCTGAGAAGAAGAGTCTCTCTAGGAAAAAAGTAAGTACTGTTTTATAATTGATACCTTCAACAGGTACTATCGCAAAGAGATGCAATAAAAACAGTTTACCACTGGTCCCCTAGGTGGGTCCAGTGCACACAACAAGCAGGCAGCTCCACTCACAAACAGCAACTTCCATTCAAAAATCTCTTCCAACAGTTTTAGAAAGTCAAACAGAGAGAGGGAAAAAAAATTAGCCAGAAGCCCCTTTGTAGTGCAAACCCCCTAGATTACTTGGTAGCCTGGGATTGTCTTCTTTAGCTTTTAGAATACTAGAAATGTTCTGAAGAAATCCTCCATTCTGGCTTATTGCCTTTTGCCCATTTTACTCTTTTCAGAATTAACTGCATTTTAAGATGATTTCTGCCTATTTCCTCTCTAGCTCAGTTTCTCAGGGCCCATCCCTTGCGAGGGAAGAAGAGGCTCCCCACCCCATTGGCAAATGCCTTCCCCATTTCCATTTCGCTTTCTCTTCCACTTCTTGACCACCCTGGAATGCAGGTGCTCCTGAGGAAACCAAGAAAATAATTTCCCTTGATAGTGTTCATCCTGGAAACTCAGGGGAGAGAGTAGCTGCGGAGTAAGAATTCAACACTCTGCACTCAGAAACAGACTTGCTCACCTCACCACACACCTTTCAGACGCTTTCCTTTATTCAGAGGCAGCCACCTTTAACAGGCGACGTCAGGCTCTCGCCAGGGATATTGCTGTGACTACAGAATTGCATTATGTCCAGGGTCCCACCACCAGCTCACCTAACTTGGAAGCAGTTCACAGCTTTTGCAGCTGGCTCTAGAAGACGCTTTCTGGGTTGTTTTGTTTTGTTTTTAACCCTCATCCCTTGCAAACCAGAAGTCCAAATGAACCTTTGTACCTGGAAGCCGTTTGTGGTTTAAATTAACAAATGTGCTGACCCCTGAACACCAAAAAGTGCTGATGTGTTTACCATTTGTTTGATTCCCTGGCAAGTGTTTTGAGTGGAGGGATGGGAGGAGACACCTGCAGGACATCCAGTTTTCTAAGCACAGAAAACGCCAACAACCCCTGTGCTCCCTACTCCTATCCCAGTCTTCTTTGGGGTGACATCATCTCAGAAGGGAAGAGAAGCCCGGCGGCCACTGGGCTCTGAGAAAACAGATTTCCAGACAATATACTGCGGGGATCGAAGGCAGAGGACAGTTCATGGAGGATTTTTTAGGGTTTGTTATTACAAAAAATATATATAAAATAAAGGCTGTGGCTTTTCTGTCCACTTCCTAGGTTTGAGCTCCCCTCCATTAGGGCTGGGGGTCTCAGAGGAGTGAAGGCTACAAAGTCCCAGGTGCCAAAGAAGGGACTGTCACCGAGATGACTGTAGGGCTCTCAGGGACTGAGGGAGGGTTGGGGAAGCAGTAAAACAAAGGGAATTGGGGCCCTTGACAGTAGAGTAAGAGAGAGAGAGGGAAAGACGGGCATGGACCAGGAAAAAGGGCTGAGAGCATATAGAGGAGTAGATAGAGGAGAAGGGGAAGGAGCGGGACTGGAGCAGAGGTCGGAGCAAGGAGAAGAGAGTGGAAGGGCAGAGGGAGCCATGGAAGGTCGGGGAAAGCCGGGGGTGGAAGGGAGGGAGGAAAGAAAAGAGAAAGGGAAGGGAGGGAGAGTGAGAAAGAAAGAGAAAGGAAGGAAAGAGGGAGAGAGGCTAGACGGAGACGGACAAGAGAGTGACAAAAAAAGAAATTTGAGGCTGGCAGAGCGAGGGAGGCCACGTCAGAGCAAGGATTGTGAGGAGGGTGCAACAGTCTAAAGCCAAAGTTAAGAGAAGCCTAAAAACCCAGGCCAATAAAGGAAGTGTGGTAGGTCCGGACAGAGGCAGGGCTGGGCCTGGGGGCTGGCTGGGCGTGCACCCCGGGGGCCGGCGCTGGCTTCCTCCGCCTCCGCCGCGTGTCCTCCGGTCCTGCCCGCGCAGCTTGCCGGGGCCGCTGCGCAGACCTGTGCGCCCGGGTCCGCCTGCCGTTCCCTCCAAGCTCGGGTCCGGGGAGAGCTGCCCCTAGGAGGTCGAGGCCGGGATGGGCAGTCCGTGTAAGCTACTGAGGGCGTCCGGGGCCTTGCTGCCGGGGCTGGGAGGCTTCCTGTCAGCCACTGCGGGAGGAAGCACAGGGGCGTCAGATCACTGCCTAACGCCGCTGCAGGGCGAGCGGCACTGGGACTCGACGCCGGCAGAGCGAAGTCGTGCGCGCTCAACCCTTGAAGACTCTGGAAGAGGGAAGCAGAGACTCGCACTCTCCAGAGACCCCAAGCTTCCGTGGGCGACCAGCCCTCCCTTTCCCGCTAGGGTAGCCACTTGCAAGGACAGCCTTGGCAAGCGGGACTCCTCGCAAGGCCATTTGCAAACACTGACCGCTGGCGGGGTGCAATTCCCGTTGCCTTCCAACGCCCTCACCACCTGCTCAGTAAAGGAAGTGAAGGGCGCAGAAGGCTGGGAGGGTTTCAGGTCTGATGGAGACTTCCGCAGAAGGGAGCGGGACTCTTAACGTTGCGCGGACCCTCACCCTTTCCAAACCCCAGGCGCCCGCACAAGTGCGAAGGGCAGCCAAAGCGTCGAGTCAGCTGACACCCGTGGCTCGGAACTCGCTGTGGGCAGGGGGAAATCGTGCGGGAAATGAGCCACCAGAGATTTCCCTGGAGCGGCCTGGATTCCTCCGACACAGGAGGCAGTTGGGCTTTAAGTGAGCGGCAGACTTCGTTGTGCTCACGAGGTCCGGGGATCGAGATGCGCTCACCACTGTGGGCACAGCACGTCCTGGGACCTGTGGGCCTCCGGATTAAGTGACAGTGGGCTGGCCAGATCGGGTGGTATTCTGCGCTTTACTCTATTATTTGGGGGTTTGGGAAGGGGCCCAAGTTTTGCTACTGGAAGCCAGAAAGTGACGCCACGATTGCCCAAGCCTGTTTTTCCTTTCCCACCCTTGGGCCACTCTGCTTCTCCTACAACCAGGATCCACAGTTTGTTTATACCTACAGGGGCCTATTTTCAATTTTCTTTTTTCCCCAAGTCCTCCTTTAAAGGGGGAGCTTGGAGCGCTTCAATTTGCGTGAGGGGAACTCTGGATTTTTTTTTCTCCTGCAACTTCCCTCGCCTCAGCCTCAGGCGCAACTTGCTGTGGCTGCGCAGAGCTGGGCCAACCACCTCTGTGCAAGACACTCACACCCACACACAAACACACACAAACACACGGTTTCGCTGAGATTTTAAAGAGGTCTAAAGACCTTCCCCAGACAGTGGCCCCTCTGCTTTTCCCTGGCTCTCAGCTCTTTTTTCTAAACATAGTTGTGGCCGCCCAGCCAAGTATTCAGACCTTTTCTTTCTACCCTGGACACACACTTCAAAGTGAGGACCTGTTTAGAAAACATCTGAGGAGGAGGAGGAGGTTTCTCAGCCAAGGGACGGTTACCTTAGAGACAAGCAAGAAACTGAACTCATGAAAAATAAACACCCAGGACGACTGCATCCCACCCTACAGGGGCGAATCCTGCTGTGTTTTTAGCCCAGTCCAGACCATCCTTCCTCATAGGGCCCCTCCTGCCCTCCATTCCCTCCACAGGACAAATGGATGGGTACTTCTGGGCCCTCGGAGGCCAGGGCCTGGGTCAGGCTCATTTAATTCAGGGGCTAAGAAGGGGGAGAGGCATTTTTGTAATATTCAACTGCAATTGCAGGGCACTCTGGGACCACCGTTGAGGGTAAGGGACCCCCGGGGTTGGGTCAAATGAGGCTGCGGTTGGGAGCATCCGGGTGCCTTCGACAATGCCAGCGCCCTAGTGCTCCCTGACAAAGTTTACTTCTAGGATCCTCCAAGAACCCATCCCCAGGCAGAGGTAACTAGAGCAAAGCTGCAAGTTATCTTTAACAAATATAAGCAATATATTTTCTTTGTGAGTATGCAATATCTTATGGATTTGATTTCCAAATCTTGAGTCATTCCAGAGCCCCACAGGGAGGGACTTAAAACCCTGAGGTTTCTAGGGTCTCTGGATACACCCTGTAAATACCAGCTGTCTTGAGGGAACATCTGGTGGTGTCTGCCACCTAAGAGTGGGGAAGGGGAGATGGTCGTCCCCTGGCTGTGAAAAAGCATTTGGATGTGGTTGGAGATTCCTAGAATGTCAGCCTCTCCAAGTGAAGATTAAGCGAAACTTTTCCTATTCTTCTCAATTCCCAAAAATTAAAGTTTCCTTTCAGGGGATGGGGAATGTAAATTATACTTTTTGCCTACACAATAGGAAACCCAGATTCACTACCTTAAAAAAAAAAAGAAAAAAATTAATTATAGTATTAATTAAATAACACAATTAATTAATATCTAATTTATTGCTAAATTTTCATTTTGATATTTGATTAAGTTTCACTTAGGGTAAGTGTTAAGCTGTTCATTTGCACTAATTTGGAGGACATGTTGATATATATTGCACTGTATGTGTGTGTTGTGTGTATGTGTTAGGTGATCAAAGGTATTTGCTTTTACTGAGCATTTATTATATTAAATTGCTTTTCATTATACAGAAGAATTTTATCTTACTGAAAAGAAATTCAGTAAATGCTATTCTCACTATTCTTATGAATTGAACAATTGGTGATAGTAAATTGTCCTGTGGGACAGGTTTCTTTGAAAATATTAATTTCTTAAGAACTGGTCAGAAAATAAAAGGCAGTGATTTTTATTATTTTTCTGTCTTTTCAAAGACTAGTTGTGTTGAGGAAATAGATCTTTGAAGTCCGCTGTTCTACCAGTAAGGAGTAAAAGTCCATAATGCAAGTATGTATGTAATTCTCAGGCTATGAATATAGATAGATAATGAATGATTATTTCTACATTCCTGTTCGAACACAAACAATTGCATGCCAGCTTGAGAAATCATTACTAATGGTGTCCCCGAGTTATCCGATTATCTTTTATTAGAACCTTTAAAGAACTTGGAGGACCACAAAATTAAATTAACTTAATAACTAGAGTAACAAATTATTGCTGCAGTTTTTGAAAACAGGTAGGATATTACATAATAGCAAGCCAATATAATGGTAAAAGGGACTTAAATGCCAGCACCATTCAATGGCTCTGTATTTCTGAAAAGGAAAGTGTCTTCTAAAGAAAATCAATCACCAGTGAGGCTAAATGTTAAAATCAGCTTCCCCACCACTTCTCAAATTAAATGAGAAGTAGTTTAGAATTAGGAACTGTGTGTGCTACCTTTGGGTTATTATCCGCACTTTATAATTTGTGTCTAATGTGGAGCTTAAAATGCCTCCAGGGCAAAGTGGCTCTATTGGAAAACAAATGCATTCCTCTGAAGACTGTGGGTCTTTTTTCTAAGTCTTCCTTCTCCGTAAGATGAACCCAGGGAAACATTTCAAATCTGTGGTTATACTTTTTAAATTCAAAAGAACCTGCTTATTTAAGCAACTTGTGTAATGTGGTACATTTCATTTTGATTTCGATTTTGGCAGATAACTTCAGTTGTTGAGAAAACAGGTTGATTGGAGGCTGAGGATGAGTGAAGTGCTCATCAGCGACCCCTTAGCTATCCTTAAATGTAAAGCTTAAAGGCGTTCTCACTCTCAACTTTTAACATTTCCTTCACTTGGATTTTTGTATAAATGAGCAAGTGATAGTATTCCATTTAAATTAAACCTAAAGTTTAAAAGAGCTCTAAATCCCAATTTTTATAAATTTTCCTTACTTGGATCTGTCTGTAACTAAGCAAGTGAACATTATCCTAATATCCCAGGATGTCTGTGCTCTAGGAAAGGTGGAAATAGAAAAGTATTTTTCTCCCTTCGTTTCACTGTTGTGGATGGCATCTTTATTTTCTTCCTGCCCCCACCCCCATCCCCACTCCCCAGGGCATGCCCTCCTATCTTATCAAGACTACTTGGAAATAGCACTTTTTGCCTGGACAGCACCAAGGAGGATGGCCCCCCTGTCCCCTGCCTGCCCACTGCCACCTACCACTACATCCACCTGGCTTCCAGACCTGGACAGGTGGAGGCAAAGCAGCTAGTAAAAATCCTTTTATAATCTGAGAACACCACGCTGTCCCCCAGGTTTGTGCCTTGTCCCTTTCTCTGCTGGGGCTGGGAGGCCCTGGGGTGACCCTTTCCTTTCCCAGGTTGGTTGAAGTTGCAAATTTCTGGTGCTCAGAACCTAAGCACTGGCAAGTTCGAAATTAGCAAATCAGGCCATTCCTTTTAACGACAAAGAGCATGAGACTCAAGGGCTGGTGAGCTTTTCCCAAGTTAAAGGAAAAACTGGACCCCTTCCGGGCAGTGTGAGAAGATGCCCCTCACACTGCTGACTGAGTGAAATACCTAAAATCTCTTCCTTGACTTTTCAGGAAGCGGACTTATGGACGAGGAAGAGGAGGAGGAAGCAGAAAAGGAGGCAAAACTACCAGGCACATTTTCCACAGAAAGAGAGAAACCCCCCCTCACCCGCCACCCACCACCACCACCAACAACAACAACCACAGGAAGCTCCTGAGCCTGGAGTAAAGGACAATGATTCACATGGCCTCTACTTTCCCACAGTGTGTATTTAAGAAAAAGAATCCAAAGGCTCTTTTTTTTTCTTTAAGGAACCTGGGAACAACAGATGGGCAGTGGGGCAGAGATGGGAAGGGTCCTGGGATGGAGGTCAGGTGCCACCAGCAAGTCCAACCCCACCTAAAGGGCTCAGGTGCTAGGGCAGGTCTACAGAAAGGTGAGCCTGGAGGGTGCCTGCTAGACGTGTCCCTGGATGGAGAAACAGAAACCCAGAAAGAAGCAGGAATTTGGTCGAAGGCGCCAGAACCGGATCCAAACCCACGTGTCCTGTGTGCCAGAAGGACCCCCTTTCTCCTCTCCCCTCATAAGTGGAGGGGACAGTCTTGGGGCCAGTCTCTCTCAACCTCGAGTACCTTTATAGGGACACCTGTCAGAACGAATCTGCTCCAAGAAGCTACAGGCATAACGGTTAACCCAGAGGAAGGGTTTATGCCCAGGACCCACCTCTTCCCCACCCGCTCTCCCTTTTCCCAGGCTCACAGCCCCTCCCCAGTACCTTTCCTAACCCTTCCAGTATCCACCCGACCCCCTCCCTGCGCTCCTCACCTTCTCGGTTGGGATGCTTGAAGGTCATTGCTGCCGCGAGTTCCCCGCCGTGCACAGCTACGCCGGCCCCGGGGGGCGCCAGCGGAGGGCCTTGCGCCGGCGGCCACGGCGGGCCTGGGGCGAGGTAGCCGCCTCCCGGCGCGCTGTACACGCCGTGCTGGTTGGAGGCCGGGTAGGCGCAGGCGGGGAGGAAGCCGCCCACGGCAGAGAGGGTAGAGGCCGACTGTGGGGATAGAGGGGGACCGTCAGCAGCAGAAAATCCTGCCTTCTCTAGCCCACGCCATCACTGAGACGGGGGTTCTCACCCATTATCCCTCCCCCACGCCCTGTCCCCATCCATCAGCCCCATGAGAGGCCTGGCCTCTAAATTTCCTAGTAAGGACTCCTTGGCAAAGTGATTTCTAAGAATTCACTCAAACTGTTACAAATAATGATTTGAAGGGGTTATAGTGTTCATATCGGGATTTAGAGAAAGAAGGTCCTTGACTGTGGACCTGTGATCTGGAGTTCCTGCTTTTTTAGCTAAGGTATCTTGGCAAAGGCAAGTCAACCCCTCGAAAGTCAGACTCCCCCAAACTAGTACGCTTGAGGAAAGGACAAAAAGGATGCTTGCTGGCTGACCTCCAGATACAACCATCTCTCTGCCTGGAAATTTTGTCTTTTCTTTCTCTCTCTTTTTCCCCACTTCCCCAAACCTTCTGCTTCCCTGCTTAAGGTCACCTCCCACACGGGCCTCCTGGTTACCTGAGTGTATTTAATGTCTGCCTCTAAGGCAGGTTTCTCCAGCCCATTCACTGCGGGGGTGGCGGGGAAGGCCGTGCGGTTCACACCGGCCCAGTCTTCCATCTTGGGAGAGTAAGTGGTGCCTTCGCTCCCAGCCAGGGCCCCTGCAGGGGACAGAGGACAGATTAGAAGGTGCCTCTGAATCTGCCCTGGGCACATGTGTGGCCAACCACCCAGCTTGTATCTGAAGGCAGGGCCAGGGTTCCCACAAAATTTGTAGGTGGCCTGACACTCCACCAGTAGACAGAGGGCGACAGGGACTGGGATGTTCACCACTCCGGGTGGGGCAGAGGAGAGGCAGCCAGGCCTGCTGACCGGTCCTCCTAGCCTTCAGCCCGCTTCCCACGAACGCCAGGCTGCTGCTGAGTCAAAGCCTGGGCAGACTCAGCCAAAGCGGCTGCTCCATTGTCTAGACACAGCTCCCAGAAACTTCCCAGTTCAAATCTACAGCAACCTCAAGAAAATTGTATTGATTTCTCAACATCTGCAAAAGCATCTGGAGGGCAGGGAGATGATTCTACCAGAACTGCCTCCAGAAACACCCAGGGTTTCCCAAAAGAAGTATCAACATTGTGGTCCCCGCGGGTCAGATAGAAGCAGACAGCTGCTCCCCGGGCCCTTGTGTGTGCCAGGAACCAAGGGAAAGCTCCAGATCTGCATGCAGGCTTGGTGGGGTCACCTCCTGACCAGCTGCCCACTGACATTCCATGGGAAGCTTTAGCCTCAGACTGGGTTAGAGCCACTGGGAGACACAAAAGGAGCGCAGGGCCACAGAGGCGCTGCTACTGCTGGAGCTGAGCACTCACAGTTTCTTTCCAGCCACCACTCTTTCCTCCTAGGCTACCTTGAATTTTGCTTCTTACCCTCCTCCTGAGTCTGCTCTCCTAAGAGTGTGCCATCCCCTGGCCAGCTGCTGGCAGCCAGGGACAGGGCAAAGAAATCCAGACCGATTCTGGCCAGATTCTTTCCCCCTCAGGCATCAAAGTTGCCCCAAACTTCCCTGCCTTCCCCATCTTCCTCGTCACCCATTTGACCAACAGTTTGTTGAGCTTTAATTGCAGATAAACGACAAATCCTTGTGAAGGTGGCTGCAGCCCCAGCAGCCATCACCCCAAACTCCAGGACCTGCAAGGCCACAGGGCCTTAGAGAGGTAGGCCACTCAACCGACCACAAGTTCCCTTTTCCTTTAACTCAGAAGAGCCACTGGGCCTGGGAGTGGGGGGCCAGAACCCTTGGGAAATTGTGACGGATTCTGAGAGCTAAAGAAAGCATCTCAAAATTGCCTGAGCGTTTTTTCCCCCCTTAGATTTGGCAATAGGGGTTTGCATACTTTTTGCAAGAATGAAAAAGCGCAATTTCAGGCCTCCAAATTTGTGGTTGGCGATTGCTCTTCCATTTGGGAAATATTTTCCATATTTGTCATAAAAAGTTCAAGATGTCCGAGGTCTCTGACAAAAGGCCCAGGACCCCCAGCCTCCCTGGCCAGTGTGGAGCTCTCCCCTGAGCCAGAACCAGTCCCGGGAGGAGAGCGAGTGTGAGTCCTCTCCTGCAAGCCTGCCCGCCCCAGGTTCTGCCCCTTAATAGAAGGCTACGAAGGCCGCCACGACTGACCTGTTTGCTCCATAAACGTCCGGATGCCCAGGATGTTGCTGACCGAGTGTGCCGAGGGCCATGAGCGCGGGATGCTGACGTGGCCCGCCGTGCCCGGGACCCCGGGGTGGCTGCCCATCTTGGCGCCGGTGGGCGACACGGGACTGGGGTAGGGGTACTGGTAGATGTGGTTGTAGGGCAGCGTAGGCTGCGACGGCGGCTGCTTACTTGCCTCGTACGGTCCGGGCTGCGCCAGGCTGCCGATCTTGTTGCGCAGGATGCGGCTGATGGAGCTCACCGAGGGCACATTGTACTTGTCACAGACGCCGTCGGCCAGCAGCCGGTCGCGGATCTCCCAGGCAAAGATGCCAGGGTCTCCCTGCTTGTAGTCCCGGATGTGCTTGACCACGTTGGGAGTGGTGACGCGGGGCTTGCTGCCCCCGATGGCCCCGGGCAGAATGGAGCCGGTCTCGTTGTAGCGCGCCAGGATCTTGCTCACGCAGCCGTGGGATACGCGGAGCTGCCTACTGATGTCACAGGGTCTGATGCCCAGCTGCGCCAGCTCCACAATGCGCAAGCGGATGGCGTTGGGCAGGGGGCGGCCGTTGACGAACACACCGCCCAGCTGGTTCACCTCGCCATACGTCTGCTCTGCGGATGCGCCAGACAACAGTGAGCAGGCAGGGAAGAAAACACCGGGCGGGTTAGCCCAGGGTCCCCACGCGGAGCGAGGGACTGCACCCAGGCGCACTTCCAAAGGGTCACCTGTGGGTCCCCAGACAGCTCGGAGTCCAAGGGCAAACCGCCTGGGTCCGGCTTGGAGTGGGCAAGGGCACAGAGGAGCCGCGGAGTGGAGCGTCGCGCATTGTAGCCCTCCGTGCCCTTTCGCGACTTTTAGCGCGTCTACTTGGAACACGCCCTTCCCAGACTTGCTGAACTGTCCCCTCCTGGGGACCAGAGGAGAATGTAGCTCCTCCAGGACCCAGGACTGGGTCGCCCAGGGAAAGCGGACTAGAGGGAACGGAGGCACACGGACCCGACCCACCTCATCAGCCCGCCCGCGCCCTGCCTGTCGCCCGCCCCTTACCCATAGCGCGCGGGCCGGTCAGCTGCCTGGCGCCGGGGTGGCCGGGGTGGCCGGGGCTGGGCCCGGCGCAGTCCGGGAGAGCTTGGGCGCCGCCGCCGCCGCGGGAGAGGCATAGAGGGAGGGCGCGCGAGAGCCGAGAGCCGCGGCGGCCCAGCCGCGGGCTGGAGACGCGCTGTGAGCGGCCGCCGAGCGCGCTGCCGCCCGCTCCAGGGCCTGCCGCCGCCGCTGCTGCCCCCTCCCAGGACACTCTCCACGCCCGCGACCCCAGGCCCAGGGTGAACTTCATCCGATTGGGAGAAATTCGTCTGACCGGGAGGCTGCAGCGTGCGGGAATCAATTTGACGTGTCCTCCACGTCAATCTCGGCAGTCACGCCGAAGACGCGCGAGTTGGCAGCTCATTGGTTCCCGTCACTGCTCCCCAGCGTCCCCCTCCCAGCCCTGAAACTCTACCCCCTCCTTCAATCCTCCCGCCTCGGCCCTCCTCCACCCCCTCCAACCCACCCCTCTTACACACACACACACACACACACACACACACACACACACACACCATTTGGGCCTGGGACCTTGCACTACTCTGAGCCCCTTGCAGCCCCTTCCCTCCTCTGGCTTTGGGAATGATGGGGAAGTCATCTCAAATTGATTAGTGTGCTAGTACTAGTACTCGTTTTCGTTTTGGTTTTATTTTTATTTCCGCCACCATTAATAATAAGATAGAGAATAAAAGTTTATCGTGGCAAGGTGTTTAGGGTGTGGCTGTCTCTACCTCCCCACTCCCTGGGCAGCGGCCGGGGAAGAGTGGGATCAATACCCCAGCTGGCTGGGAGTGTCAAGGTGAGCGTCCAGCGCGGTGCAGGGCTCCTGGCAGGAAGACACAAGGCGGAACTGATTCCTGCGTGTCCTGTTCTTGGCCAGGTCCTCAATCCTTCTCTCAGGAAATCCTCACAACGTTTAATAGCCGACCACTCTCGGAATAGTGGGGGTGATTTCGGTGATGCGAGAGGGGCACGGTCCAAATCCTGTCTCCTACAGCCAGGCCCAGCCACCAGAACTCATTCCTCTCCAAGAGGCGACAGAAGGGGCAGGAGGCAAAAGGATTCCGGCCTGCTGCTACTAGGCGCATAGATCCGGCGCCCTCCGGTCCCCAAGCGCGACCGAGGGGAGGCCAAATGCATAGCTCCAGCTCTAGGCCTGAAGGACAAGTTCCTTTCTCCTTGGCGGTGGAATCCAGCACCACTCTATCCCGGGTGGCCTGGTCTCGTCCTTCTCCCAGCACCTGCAGCTTCAGGAAGTCTCGGTTAAACCACAAAATGGTCATTTCCCCTTCATTTAAATGAGGTTTTGCGCAGTCCTGAATTATTTGCCCCTGAAATTGAGTATCAACAATTTCTCTGTTTCTACTCTGCACCAGAGCAGTTCTGAACTCCCCAACCTGCGCAGCTAACCGTATCCGGTAGCCATGCGGTGAGGCCCAGGAGGAGAAAACTCGTGGTTTTGAACCTGAACTGATTTGAGGGGGTCAGGACCTGAGAGTTCTGAGGTTGAGCCCAGTAAGCACCAAAGGCATTGGGCCGAATGTGCTAGATCAGGAAGAGGGCATAGGGGAGAGAGGACGAACAGCAGAGATTTCTGAGACTCCCAGCTCTCCCCTGGAGGGGAGAACCCTCTTCCCCTCCCTCCCGCCCACCCCAAGGGTCTAGCTCTCCTTAGCCACCCAGAGTTGAATATGGCGCCAGCGCGGTGACAGTGGCTGAGGAGCACATGGACCCTATCAGCCCTGCCTGGGGAGCCATGGCTGCGGAGGCCCCGACCCCTTTCCCTCCACTGCGGGGCCAGAGAGCATCCCTGGCTCCTAATCCACCCGTCTAAATGTATCTGTTAAGAGAGACTGACTCAGGCTCTCTAGAGAGAGCACGCGGTGGGGCCACAGGCAAGAATTACCTCCGGAAAAAGAGAAATCAGGTTTAAAAGAAGTGAACTCTTCCTCTCCAGCGGCATGAACACAGTACAGTCTCTGTCTCTGGGAAGTCCTGGAGACCTGGAGGAGGTTTGAGGGTCAGCGCACTGGCAGGAGGATGCGAGAGTGGGAGCAGAGGAACCTATGTAGAAGATCAGGCCTGTCCATGACAGCGTAGGTTTGGAGTAAGGAACGGGGAAAGGGAATGGTTTGGATTAAAGTGGGCACGCCAAAGCCAGGAGTTATGGGAAGGCAGCTAAGAGAGGACTAAGCTTGCACAGTATGCCCAGGACTCCGGGGGTGCGGGTAGTGGGGACGCACCCTGCCCAGTGCTCTCCATTGCGGAATCTGCTAGCCTCTGATCTAGACCTTCGTCGGGCGCGAGATACCAAGAAAGGTTGATTTCCAGACCTTGGAGTCTCTGAGATAAAGGAACGCCACATCCCTGCCTCAATCCCTTGCATACTCGTGATCCGGAAAAGCAACTAAAGCCGCTTCTTCCCCCCAGTAGGTGAGGAGGCAATAAGCACACTCAAAGAGGAGGAAATAAAGCCGGTTGTGACACCGTGAGGGCTGGTTAGCCCAACTACCCTTTCAGGGGAACGTCCACCCCACTTCTGCTGCCGAGCTTGGAAAACTGGCGAGGAGTCGCAGTCCGGGACAAAACTCCGCCCCTGCCCCCGTGAAGGCAGCCCTTGGCTGGGGGCGACTGTAGAGGAGTGAGTCTGGGGATTGCGCACGATGAGAGGGGGTGGTTCTCTGGGGTAGCGGAGTCCGCGGGCCCTCGTCTCAATCCCAGCCCCTTTCCCGCAGCCAGCTGTGCGCGATTGGGACCACACAGTCCTCGCTGCAGCCTTCTGCACGATCGGGCATAGGGAAAACCTTACAGTTTGTCGCCCCCTGTCGTCCCCCGGCTGGGCTTCGCGGGTTCCCGAGCGGCAGGCTAGGCTTGGGGAGAGGTGGCCCTAAGATGAGATTGCAGAAGGAAAAGAAACGTCTCTCCCACCTCCCAAGGAGGCAGCTTAGCCCTCTCCATGGCCCGGGGACAGCTACTAGTGAGCGCTGAGCGCACAGAGGTAAAGAGCTCGCGGATTCTGCGTTTTTAGTTGGCTGGGTTTGGCACCGTATTTCAACTTGCTCTGGGCGCGGAGTGCAACAAAGTGTCGCTTCCAGGGTCGCGGGAGCCTGTTAGCTGAGGGCGCACTCAGAAACATGGGGCAAAACTCTTCCGCCTGGGGCTGGACTCCTACCAGGGCAGAGGATGGATGTGAGGGTACCCCAGTGGCCTCGGACCCTCGCCCAGTTTTTCCCAAGGCAGGGAAAGAAAGAGAGGTAAACTCTGTGCCAAAATCGGGAGTCAAAAAGGAGGCGCGAAGGGGTGCCTGTCCTTCTGGGGACTGGGGTTGGTGGCAAGGGGGGTTACTGGTGAGTACTCCCTTGCTGCAGGCCACCTGAGCCGTGAACTCAGCACCTGAAACTTCAGACTGCTAACCACCCAGGGATTCGGTGACAGGGCTGCTCTTGGAGCTACAGTCGCCCCCACTTCAGGTCTCCTATGTCGCTTTGATTTTTGGTGGGTTTCGGGGAGTTAAAACAAGCAACAGCCCGGGATGTTCCCGGGGTCCATGCATTTCAAGGTCTCCAGGAGAAACCTTAAAAAGCTGATTTAAGTCCAACTTGGGCATACGGGTGCGCATTTCGGTTCTTGTGGGAAGTAACAGAGAACAGAAAACACAGGTGGCACTCCCCGAGGGCCCCGGCCAGGCTTGGGCCTAACAACGAACGCTGGTACCCACCAGCAGCAGCCCGCAGGGGCCGCAGGGCCGGGATCCCGGATCTTCCTCACGATGCCCTAGCCTCAGGCCTTAATAGGCCTGCTTTCCCTCCTGCATGAGTCCTGGCTCTGCTTAGGACCTGCGCTTTTACTGTGTTTTTAAGAGCACTGAGCCGTGAGTCCTGTGGTTCAAAATCAAAGTCAAATTGAGTCTCTTAATTTTCTTCTTAAATTTACTTTTGAAGAGAAAAAAAAAAAAAAAGCAGCTCGGGTTACAAACACACTTTATGCATCATGTACCAAACTCCACACGTACACATGCCCACCGTTTTGCAAAAAGATCCGCCACACCATACTTAAAAATAAGAAGAAGAAAATTGACGAAAAGAGAAATGAGGAGCCGCTAGCTGCAAAGAAACTATGGGAAGAAAAGCTGAGCCAGATCGGGGAGCTGCAAACCCTCGGGAAACGCGAACAGCTAACAAACCAAAAGTTGGCTTGTGCGACAAAGCAACGAAACTCCGCGGGGAGTGACTGCAGCGATGGAAGAAGCGGGGCGAGGAAGGGAGAGGAAGACTGGATTCTGAACTGGCGCCTTTGAGCGCTGCCTCGGAGCGCGAGGTCAGCGCGTCCTCCCTACGTTGTGGATCCTCAAGGACGAGGTGGGGAGTGCGTTTTGCACAGAACCTGCCTCTCCTGACTGGGACACACAGACTCTCCAGACCCAAATGGAAGGTGTTAAGGACCCTACCAGCTGGCAATGAAACAGAACCCCTAAGAGCGAAAAATAACGTCCTTGGCTTCGCAGACCCATTCCCGCAGCTTATTTTCATTTGGCCTGCAGCTGACCAAGGCGGTCCTAAAGTTGGTTCTTTGCCTAGGTGTGCATGATGTTCACTACCCTGGAAACGTTTATTATCGAAAATGAGTCGGGTCGGCAGTGGTGTATGGAGCACCGTTTCCGCTGACACTGGCCACTACGAACGAGTAATGTCCTTGGAAATGTATGGCGAGAGAAGCCAGGAAAAATTTTTCGTTTTCCTAAAATGAAATGAATAAACAAGAATAGGTGGACATTTTCAACGTGATTAACAAAACGCTGAAAGAGGAGTGCTCCTCAATTCTGTTCAGAGATGTAAGAAAAAAGCAAGTTAGAAAATTGATTTGCTGTGAAACCTGCACTAGAAATAAATAGGGGGAAATTGAGTATTGGCAACAAAGATCTAAGATACTTTCTACCCTGCAATGCAGGGATCTGACTACTACGTTAATAACATTTATTTTGGAGTAGAAACATTTTAAACATGGAATTTGGCTGATAAAAATAAACTACAGATAGTTGGTGCCCTTCGTAGGAAGAAACGGTTTCTAGAGCCTTCAGGAGGATCTGGCATTCTTGCCATTCTTGTGTGTATATCCTCACTAGCCCCAAATCAAGTTCTGCAGATTGCTATTATGTCTCTCTCTTTCCCTGGTAATGAGCATGTCAAATAAGCCTCAATTTCCTCTTATATAAAATGACTTCTACCATGCAATTAGATCTTATTTAATTTC